ATAATACTGCACATATTGCTCTACAGTAAGAAGGCTTGGCAGTTAGTTAAGCTTTCATACTTCAAGGGACAATATTAGGCCTCTCTAGAGTTACCCATATGTTGTAGGTAAAGCAGTTATAATAGGTAATGTTAGTAAGTCTGCACATTCATTTCCAAAGCTTTCTTAGAATGCTGAATCCACAAATCCCAAGCATTTCATCCTCACCCTTCTGGAGCATTGCCTCTGGAGTGAGCATTAATTCTCATGAGGGTTTCAATGGTGTGGAACAGATCAGCCTCAGTAATATGGGCAACACTCCTTTCATCCACCAGCAGGATTTTTACCAACTGCATAGCAAATGCAACAGCCATGTAGTTTAAACCATTCTCCATTGACTGGAAACACAGAAAGCACAATGTAAGAAAAACAACAGTTACAGCAAACACACTTCCCAACTACCAGAGCCCCTTCTCCTGTTTAGGAAAACTCCTTCCGTACCTGAGCTAGGTGAAGATCATACTGCTGCATATTAACCAAATGATTGCGAATTAGCAGCTCCACTGCCTCCACATTATATTTATACTCATCCCGACATTCAATTAGGCACCTAGAAAAAGTCAGTATTTATTTATATAGGCTTAACTAAACTGTATCAGATAAAACAGCCCATTTTATTTGATGATAATTTATTCCAAATTAAGAATGTGTTGAGATTCAACTGCAAATCAGTATCCAAGATTCAAAATAGCCAGTAATGAAGTAGAAAAGACAGGTAAATGATGGTATTTTCGGTTTACATGAGTTATGGAGGTAATTATTTGACCACAGGTACAGTGTTAAAACACAAGCTTTGCTTTCAAAACCTAGAAAACAAAGTCCAGCCCTGGCCAGTGTGATTCAGTTGGTTGGGTCCTCCTGTGCACCAAAAGGTCGAATGTTTGATTCCTAGTACGGGCAATGCCTGGATTTCAGGCTCTATCCCTAATAAGGGATGTGTAGGAGGCAGCTGATAAATCTTCCTCTCCTTCCTATCCTTCCTTCCTTCCTCTCCTTCCTCCCTCCCTCCCTCCCTCTCTCCCTTCCTTCCTTCCTCTCACTCTTAAAAAAAAATCAATAAAAACATTTAAAAAAGAAGAAAAAAGCATTCCACTTAAGACATTAAAATATTTATATATCAACACCACTGTTATAAAATCAATGAAGCCTTTTAAAACCAACGATCTACAACTTATTCCCCAAAGCAAGATACTGGTTTTCTGTATCCGTCATGGGCAGCAGATGGAAAAGGACAACCATGCAGTAATTCTCACTACCCAGAATTAGAAATTCCAAATGTCCCATTTAGCCTCCAGGTTAAAAATAAACCTCTAGACCTAAACAGGGTCATGTATATCAGAAGGCAGTCCAATAAACATTACTCTTCTGAGATGGCTACTGACCTTGTGATCTGTTTGTTACACCACGGCGACCCATACGCCCGGCCATCTTGAAGAGCCTTCAAGACCAAGAGGTGGCATTCCCTGTAGCGCAGCAGCAAGTCAGCATCAGCACCACTTGTGGCATCTAGTAAGCCCTCTACAGCCTATGGAAGAAAAAAAGGGTTCAGGACCATGAAAATATAGTGCGCAGCCCAAATATCAAAGCCAAAACAAACCTGAATGCAAATGACAAGATTCCAGAGTTAACAATCTCTCCCCTCACCAAAGTCCTTTTCACTTACCTAACACGCATACTAACTAAATTCTAACTGGTTTATGCTCACTTTATGTTCTTCACTATTATCTAAGACTCCACTAGCCCTTCATAGTCAAAATCCAATGCTCTTCACCTACCCCGTATCCCATTACCCAAATACTTGGATCAATGTGTCCCTCAAAATCTAAAGGGCTATCTTAAAGTTTCTTGAATAATCGTATTTCCAAAAAAATCATGCCAAAAAAGATGTTCCACTTCACTGTTTTTCATGACTATATTTATTCTGGAGAAAATCACACGCTTAGTGCAGAAGAGACCTTGCTTTTTATTAGCTTTTAAAATCTTAAACATAACTTAAATAGATAATAGTGCAGGTGTCTGGATATTTACAAGCCTAGTTTCTTCTGAAAGTCATAGTTTAAGAACTAACCTTCTGGAGCAATCCAAGAGCAGCTATGGCATCCCGAGAGTTTCGAGATAATACTACAACCTCCAAAAGACTTCTAAGAGCTTGAGCTTGAGGGTTCATGGCCAAAGCTGGTGGGATGGCATGTAGGTGCTGCTCTAGTTCTGTAATGCACTTGTCATAAATTTGAGCTACATCATCCGTTGCCCAAGCTTGCTGTTTTAGAAAAGAAAATAACCAAAAAAGAAATAAACATGTAGCAAGTTAAGTCTCCCCACCCCCATAGGCACATGTAGCTTCCCCCCCCACACACACACCCCCAAACCATGGAGGGTGTGGCTCAGTGGGCTGAGTGCTGTCCTGTGTACTGAAAGGTGGTAGGACTGATTTCCATTCAGGACACATACCTAGCTTGTGGGTTTGAACCCTAGTCAGGGTGCATATGGGAGGCAACTGATCAATGTTTCTCTCTCATCGATGTTTCTCTCCCTTTCCCTCTCACTAAAGTCAATGAAAACATATTAAAAAAAACAGTATCAAGACACTTTTGTAAAACCTGAATGAAGTCAAAGGATTACATGTTACGTATCAGCGCTACCTTTCTGATTTCAATGTCTGTACA